ACTTTTCGAGTTGGATTTGTATGCCTTCCTGTGTTATCAGCACAGAAGCAAAATAATTTTCATATCAACCAGTGTCAGAGGTTTATGACTAAATACTGATTGATATTTATTAAAATGGGGAAATAAAATATCGTCTTCACTCTATAGTTGATGTAATGATAGATATAGGATATATGTGTATAAATGTGGCAGGTATCTACTGCTGTGTTGTTCTGCTGCACATCCGTCACCAAGTTAAGCAAAAGTAAAGTGAGTCTGCTCTCCTGAGCTGACTTACACAGATTATCACATCGATCCATACTCTTGTAACCAGAGTGAGTGAGAGAGACAGAAACATGGAGAGGGACACGAACGAAGGGACACTCATTCAGTTAATGTCACACATTTTGTGCTTTGTCCTGAGAGAAGAGATCGACGGCTGAATGGATGCAGAAGTGAATACATCTGCTAGAAATGGAACTGAAAAGCTCCATTAGATGTTAGGCATTCAACATGGAAAACACACACAGTGCAGGAGGATAAGGCTGTTTTTGTTTTTTTTAATCAACCAACAAGAAATCTGTTCCTTTTCACGTCAGTGAATGGTCTTTTTCTGTTTTCTTATTTTCTTTTTGTCTTATTTTTTTCTTCACCTGCATTCCACACAATAGCTCTGACTCAGGTTGGGGGGTTGTCAGCGTTCTTCAAAGACAGGACGCAGTATAATGGGGCAAAGCCAGTGACCAAGACATGTATTCGAGTCATTGATTTCAGCTGAGAGTGTCCTTTTTATTATCATTCCATGTTCTCTCAATTTATGTCCAGGAAGACTGTCCTGTTCATCTGAACAATTTGTTACTGACAATTTGTCTTTTATCTGGACAACCCAATCATTGTGCAGGGTATTTCTCTTTTGAATACTACTTTTCTTCAGACTGGGTTTTTTTTGCCTTTCAGAAAAGTTGGAGCCAGAGCAACAGGTGAAAGTGTTTCGGCCATAGTGACAGTTGGCAGCACAACGAGTCCCTCAGGGCCACTTCACAGCCCCATGGACGGGGGCCCATCTCATCCAGTGCCTTGACCCAGCGTCCGCCTCCAGCTCCAAGCCAAGCAGGGGCCAACACCTGCCCTGTGTGACCCCACCAAGCACTCTGCCCAAAGCCAGGCACTTTACCGCCTCAATGGAGACACCTTGCAGGAGACGCGACTGGCTCTTTCCCCTTTTTCCACGGTATCCTCCATGTTCTCATCGCCACCAAAGTGTGGTCAAGCAAGGTTGAACTCAACATCGGTATCTCTGCCTTAAAATCTGAAAAAACTCCTCGTGGCCCAACTCCAAAAGAATATCTGTACAGGCAAAGAAAAAAGAAAACATGTCCCTCTATCTGTTTGCAAGAGTATTGTGATTTATGTGAAATGAAGATGTGGCGAAATCTTTCAAAGACTTTCTGTGATTCAATGTCTGAAGAAGAGGCGGAGCCGTGTTTAACACTGCATCTTCTCGCTCACCAAATGAAAGGAATTGTATTCTATTATTTAAGAGCTAATTTTGGATGATTGTCAGTTTATACACACAATTGTAATCATTGCAACACCTTTGGAATTGTAAGAATAAATGCAGTTCTCAGAAAAAAAATTTAAATTTAGTATTATGAAACTCTAGATGGCAATGAGCACAAAACACACTTTAGAAATAGTCACTCTAAACAAACCAGTTAAATGAATAGTGCAACCCTATTTAAATGCTTATTTCTTGCTGAGAGTTAAATAAGAGGTTTGATACCACTCATGTTTGTATGCTAAATGTAAAGAAAGTACAGTAGAGGCATGTTAAACATGGAGGCTCACCTGTTCTGCCAAAAAACAGCCTTCTAGCACTTTGAAAGCTTATACTTGTACATTAATAAGTGTGATAAGAACTTTAATGTGGTCCATGTCCATCCATTAACATGGAGGCAGGATGTATGACCTATACTGCAGCGAGCCACCAGGTGGTAATCGAGACACTTTGGCTTCACTTCTGAGGAGCAGTCATGTCGTTCAGCTTTGTGACGGACAGCTAAGCAGTTAGCGGAAAGTTGCTATACACTAACATTGATAATTAGAGGCACTTTAAACTGTACAAAAAGGCTGATGCATACTTTAACTAACCTGGTGTTCTGGTGTCATATTTAGCATATAGACATGTGAGCGGTATTGCCCTTTTCATGTAACTCAAATTATTCCTATAATAAATATCAATTGTAATGTTTTTGGGTAAGTGCTCTCCCATTTAATTAAAAATAGAAATATTAAGACACAACATAACCCTCCACAGGTCTGACAGTCAGGTTGGAAATCTTTCGGATTTCCTCAGAGCAGTATTCTTCAACCCGAAGACATTTCTTCCTCTGTCATCTTTGTTTACTTTCCAACATTGTGGCCTTTAGGTTTGAACAAACATGTTTTCCCTTTGCTGGGTCATATCCAAACTTTTTGGTTGCTTTCAGCATAATCCTGTAAAGACTTTTACATAATGAAGCCTGATGGGCTATGACAGATGCCATGAAACCATGATTTTGTTACAAACAATTTATTTTTGTACTTACTGAACGTTTTTATGCAATACTGCTGAAATAAGTACTATTGCAAATTAAAGGCTTTATTCTCTCCTCAAAGGAGCCCTCCTCAGTCAGTCCCATCATGTGTGGTGACTAAAAGTGCTTTCAGTGTGTGTCTGCATTTACCATTTGATATTCTGCCAGTAATGACGATGGTAAATGCTGCAAAAACACAGGCAGCAATAGGCATTTTAGGAGCGGCTAGTACAGTTCATACTGTGTTTGTACCTCTTAAACATTAGATTTGAGAATAATGCCTTACATTTTTTGGGGTTCTTTTGCTTTTACTCCTTCACTACTTCATTAGTTAGAATATAAGTTAGCCATGCACACAGTTGACAAGGCTTTTACTTTGGCTAACAGCTCGAGTGCTAGTTAGTACATGTGCTGGGCTGCTTGAACTAAAAGGTGTGACGATCTCCGTATGAATGCTCTGCCCCTTCTATTAGTGAGCTTTTCATTCCACTCCTTTCAAATCTCTGGTTTTGCACATTGATCCTGTACTTTTGTAAACATTATTATCAGAGGTGTCGGTGTAAACAGTAAGAAAAGCATGTTTCAGGATTTATCAAATGGATGTTAAATTTCCCATGAGAAGCACAGCCAAAAGGGTCCAATCATCAGTGTCCTGTATTTTTCTAAAGTATAAAAAAATGTAGTACTTCATGAGTTTGTTAATATGTATATGTGTGAAAAGATGGATATGATATAGACTAATGTGTGTATTGCTCATAGTTGACCAATCTTTGGTGTTTTGTGCAAGAGACTGCTGCATATACATGTCATGACTGGATTCACACAGATAAAGATATTACTTAATTCCTGTTTAAATCCAGCTTGAAAGACTATGAAGAGGTTCACTGTGCACAGCTCCACTTCTACATGCAATTGTTTGTTGCAATCCATACATGTTGGGCAAACTATTAATGTGCAAAAAATACAGATTATCTGTGCCACAGTACTCTGAGGAAAAAAATGTATATGAAATGAATAAAATTTTCAAACCTAAAGCTTCTTTTGAAAGTGTTTTTGTGTGCTTCAATATAGGACATCACACAATGAAAACAGTATTTTATGTACACAGATGTGAAGAGGGATTTAATGTCCACCAAGGCCTCAGAACAGACACCAGAGGAAATGCAGTACAATACCATAATCAAAATAAAGACACTCCGTTTGAATAGAGGGAGAGAACACGCTGTCATGGTAACCAGTCCGTCTTCACCGTCCAGCGTTTTCAAGGTTCTCCTCATTTCAGATGCTGTTGAGCAGCTCCAGCATCTTGACGACATGGTGCATCCTGCTGCGCCTCCTCCCAAAGCGTCAGACACAAATACAAAACCTTTACAATGTTAAATTCAGAATTGTCCGAAATTACATCAGTTTCTTTATGAGTTGGTGAGAGTTTAGTTGATCCAAACTTTGTTTTTCATCCTCATGTTACATTTTACATTGAATGGAATATTTTCAGAGGTAGGGTGCAGGTGATAATTTGATCTTGTTTCAAACCACATGAGAAAACCACACAAGGCAGGACATATATTCATCCTGGAGCCTAAAGATGTAAGGTTTAAAGCTCGAACAAAACAAAAATCATGTCACCATGAAGATGCAGAACAGAAATGATTCAGCTAATTACTTTATGTTTCCAAACACAGGGGCACTTCAGATGGAATTTCTTTTAAAAGCACATTTAATTTCCTGTAGATGAGTTAAGGTCCAGTGTGTAAGATTTAGGTGAAAGGGAACTATTGGCAGAAATTTAATGTAGAATAATCCTCATGATGTTTTCAGTAGTTCATTTCATCTAAATTGTATGTATTGTCATTTTCTTTACCTCGGAAAAGGCCCTTTATATTTAAATAAAATATTGACATCAAGGGGGTCCTCTCTACGGAGGCCGCCATCTTTTTTTAAAGTACTCTAGACTGGACAAACTAAACACCTTTTGAGTTTTTATGACAACTACAGACTACCACAGGTTCTCTTACATATTTGGAAGGGGAGGGTGAGGTAAGAGGTATTCAGCTGCAACATGAAACTACAACACTAGATATCACTAAATTCGACACACTGTACCTTTAAGTTGATTTGTTTCCATTAAGGCCACTTTTACCAGAGGGGGTTAGTTACTCTGAAGTGGAATGTAGGTAAAACTTAACATATTGCACTTCAATGTGAAATGTCACTTAAAATTACAACAAGGTCATAACGCTGTGCACCACTCACAGCACAGAATACGAGAAGCTTATGAGTTCAACACTTTTTTTCCCCCAATATAAACATCCCACAACAGTGTGAATGTTTAAATAAAAATATTTCT